CACTTCGTCACATAATATTGAAAATATTCTGAAGTTTAGAGGCTCAGCTTTTACATACTTTACCATTTCACTGCTTCATCAAGTGTAACCTCTAAATTCTGTGGCATGCGTCTGCGGACTTATAACGCTAGAAACCGGGTTTCGATATCCGTGGTGGGCAGCGCACAGATAGCCCATTGTGTAGCTTTGTGCTTAATTAAAAGCAAGAAACAAAACTTTCAGTACAGACATCGGGACAAAGATCTCAACTGATTCCATGTTCTTTCAAGCATAAAATGAAAATATTATATACCTTTTCACCCGACGTTGTGGTTTTGAAAGGTTCATGAAATAGCTTGTCTTCTTCAACTGTACAATTATGAATAAAACAGCCAGCCCCGCGACATCTGTAGAGTCATTTGAAGTGCAAAACGTGTTGGACTAATTTTTAAGCGTTGAACTAATTCTGCTTTACAATAAGCTTTGTGTCTTTGTCATTATGCACAAAGCTACCCAATAGGCTGTATGTACTGTGCACATCACAGGTATCAAACAGAGGTATTGCTAGGTGCTTAAAAGATTCGGGGCTCAGGCCCCTAGACGCGGTAATTTTTAGCGTTTCAGTAGGATATCGATCTTGAATTTCTATTCTGATTTTTTTAGGACACCAACTTATATATATATATAAGGATTCGGGGCACTATCAAATAGAATCAGAGAACGGGTCCCGTGTGCCAGTGCCTAGCGACGCCTCTGGTATCGAAACCCGATTTTTAGCATCATAATCCCCCTGACTTATTGCTGAGCCAGTGTTAATATCTTTCATGCACCTTGAACTTGTATTGCCCGAAAGTGGAACACAATCAATTTTCTTGCTTAATTTTTTACCCATCATGCAATTTATCAATTCTTTTGGACGTGGTTTTATTACATTTTCGGCAATAGTATGAGCGTCACCTGAATTTGCAATAAGATAACTCATACGATAAAATGCTTCAAAATGCAATTTTATTATTATTACAAATAAAACCACAAAATGCGGATATATTACAAATGAACTTCTCACGTTTTCTTTTAAAATTTTGGGTGTTTTAACACAAGATGCCTTCATAATTTTATCGCATTCACGCTACCGTTACCCAATACTTATCAACATTCCATAAACTATCAGGTTCATTTTCATTACCAATCCAAGTGAAACCGAAATCAATATAACTCATCATATTTCCGTTTGTTAACTTCACTGCTTACTTTCCTAGATTTTGTAATATGCAGAATAGGTATGTTACGACAGCGGAAGTCACGTGACTCTGCTGGCGCATTGACGCTGGTAGCGTGTGCGAGGAGTTTCTCGAATGATCATGAATTTCCTAGTGTGTTCGAGACGCCCTCTTTTTTAGTATATAAATCTGGCAGGGAAAGCCAACAGATAATGATTGAATGAAGAG